AGCCCACTTGATGTTTTTGTGTTGCTAGCCGCTACAATTTTAACCATTACACATCATAATGTAAACAACACCACCCAAATAAAGACCTCAGGGTGAAGTTCCAATTGTAATGCTTAATGGGTGTTCCACACCTCAAAAAGAAAAACTGGAATGCAAGACTGCTTCACAGCAAAAATAGCCAGTATGGTGGTACCTATTCATGTGAGCTCACAACAGGGTGCGACACTGTTATTATAACAAAATCATCCTATACTGAGACAGCATGTTTACAACGCAACTATACTATGAAAATCTAAAAGAATTGAACGATTGAAATTAATTTTATCAGTAGAACATTAAGAAATTTGAAAGAAGAAATCTTAATAGTGCCTTTAAAAAACTTAGTATGTATTTCCAATTTAAGAAAATAACTTCAAAAGTATTCAAAAAACCTGTTTTTGTTTTAATTATGATTGTCTGTAGAAATTTAAGCTAGTCAAATTAATCAATCAGTAAGTATAATGCATTTAATATCTTTCCTTAAATTATTGTCTATCTGAAGGTTGTCTGGACCACTTGTACTTGTTGCATTTGTTTTGTTTGTGTTAATATATTATAAGTACAAGAAAGCTTACTCATTTTGCTTGAGTATAAACTAAAGTATTTACAGTCAACGGTCAGACCTGTTCCAGCCAATATGTCACCAGTTTCCCTCTTACTAGTTTTTTAATATATGTATTACAACTAATTATTATATATTTAATTATTATTATAATTTTTGTAGAACTATTTTTTATTATATATGGGTAAATAGACAACGAAATTTTACTTTTATCCAATTAATTGAAATAAATTGGAAAGAAATGTGTACATATGTGTGTTGATTAAATCATAATATTTCCTAATATTTAATCAACAATATTGTAAATTTGAACTTTAATTTTTATAGCCCTGCTTAGCTAGATTCTTAAATTGCTTGTGAATTAGATCGGGGTGTGTTTAGTCTGAGTTAGATTAGTTACATGGAAAGGGATGTAAAATTCAAAATGTGACTTTTTTCGTTAACATAGGTATGTTGAGAGACAAATTAAATATGTTTCCGTTGTTATCATTCTTACGAATGTTTATAAATCATAATCTACATACATTTTTATCAATCGCAATACAATCAACCGGTTGTATACTCAGATACCGAAAGTAAATAGCATTTGCTTGTGGCGTTGCTTAATCTAATCGAATTAGTATAATTACTTACCACTATTTAATTTCTCGCAGCTAAGCCGAAGTATTACTATGAGTATTATGCATGTAAAGCTTTAATCCACGGTTTATTTTATTATAAAGTTGTATAAAATTTTCCCAAAATCAGTCTTAGCTAGGTTATTTCTATTTGTCACAAAACGACATCATTTGTGATACCAATAAAAAAATATTCACAATAAATAATTTTGGAAAGGCATTTTTTTATTGCCCTTGTAGGCAGACGAGCATACGGCCCACCTGATGGTGAGTGGTTACCGTCGCCCATGGACTTCAGCAATGCCAGGGGCAGAGTCAAGCCACTGCCTACCGCTAGATTATTGCTGGGATGCTATACATTATCGATTGGACAGCTATAAAATACTTAAAAATGTATAAATTATATAAAACAATTCCAAACGTGAAATGGGTTAAGTTGTGAAACAGTTATTCATTTTCTTTTTTTAATTCTCCATTTTTGCTTCAATTGTAATGCTGGTCACACTAAATCCATCTAACACCGGTAACTCACATGCGCACGAATACGCAACCCGCAAGTGTAGGACGACATTTGCAAATTATTATGCAAAGTTTTCGCTGCATTCGTGGTTTTCCAAGCTGTGTCGGTTTTTTAACAGACATCAAAGCGCGCGAACCGCGAACCTTCGCGTAGTCTCCCACACATTCGTTTGCCCAGTTGCGCCGACGATTGCGAAGGTAACGGACGTATCGCCATTTTCATAGTTCGTGACGTCTACTGTGTAGCGTATCTTCATCAAAAGAAATCCCATAAAAACAGCATGGCTGTTAATGATGTCTGGGAAAGAATTCAAAACTCTTTTTCTCTTCAATGTTCTATTGACGAATTAAAAAGGAGGAGAAATTCGTGAGACATTCGTAAACAAGTGTAGGAGGAAGCGCAAACGGGTTCGCAAATTGAGTATGCGAACCCATTTGCACAGCTGCTAAGTTTGCGAATGAATGTTTGACGGCCCTCCACATGCGCGTAAACATTCGTACAATGTACGAATATTTGCCCGCATGTGAGTGGCCGGCATAATGTACAGACATCGATATATCGATGTGTACAGACTAGAATTCTGAATTCGTACCTAATACATTGTAATTTGTACCTATTATAGTTGCGATTGTCAGTTAAAGCGTACCATTTCTCCCCCAATTATGCAGATAAAGAATGAGCAAGAAATAAAATATTTGGCAATACGTCAAACTTTGGTCGTCGTGGCCTAAAGGATACGACGTCCGGTGCATTCGTATCTAGCGATGCGACGGAGTTCGAATCCCGCAGGCGGGTACCAATTTTTCTGATGAAGTATGTACTTTACAAATGTTCACGATTGACTTCCACGGTGAAGGAATAACATCGTGTAATGAAAATTAAGCCCGCAAAATTATAATTTGCGTAATTACTGGTAGGATCTCTTGTGAGTTTGCACGACGAGTAGGTACCACCACCTATTTCTGCCGTGAAGCAGTAATGCGTTTCGGTTTGAAAGGTGGGGCAGCCGTTTTAACTATACTGAGACCTTAGAACTTATATCTCAAGATGGGTGGCGCATTTAAGTTGTAGGTGTCCATGGACTCCAGTAACCACTTAATACCAGGTGGGCTGTGAGCTTGTCCACCCATCAAAACAATAAAAATAAAATAAATAAAAATAATGTGCTTTCATTGTATTGTACAAATGCGACATTTTATTTGCGATCCACTCTCGTTGCTTTTAGGCATTCCAAGTAGGTATAGGTCATCGTTCTCGTCCAACCCGCAGCTTGTGACGAGACTCGCGAGTAAATTAACCCAGACATAGCCCCCTGAGTTTCTCGCCGGATCTTCTCAGTAAGTCGCGTTTCCGATCCGGTGGTAGATTTTGCAAGCACTGCTCTTGCTAGGGTCACTGTTAGCAACATCGTCAGTTTTGGGCCCTGTGAGTTCACCTAATTCGTTTCTATATATATGTTGTATGTATATTGTTTTAGGTAAATCAACAGAGATCCTGTCATCAAACATTCTTAGCTACTCACTTAATTCTTAGTGAATATCTGTGACCTTGCTCGTTCACGAAGCCTGCTATAGAAAGCAGAGTATTAAATACACTTGACATTGGCGAAATCTAAAAGGAAACGCCATAAACCTAAGAGATAGATAGATAGTTTTTTTTTAATGCAGTATACGTACATACAAGGAAGACAATAAAAACAACTGAATGTAATAAATTTTATTATTGATTGATAATAATTTCGCGGCACAAAAACGAACATGCAGTATACCAATAAATAAATAAATAGTTCTAATCGTTGAATCTTTGTCTAATTAATACCTATACGTCGTGAATTTACTAATCCTTTTTTATCAGTTGCGTCGCGCACGTGGAGCTCATAAGTGTAAATTGGTGTGCACGCCTACGGCAAAATAGTGTTGGAATAAAATTGTCTTTTGAAGGTATCAGCAAATGCGTTAACGAGTCCCTTTGTATTAAGTGGTTAAACTCCTTTACATGAAAACTGACGTCTATTCTGAGACAAGAAAGATAGCGTAGTCTCAATTGATTTCAAATATTTTTGATTCCGAAATAAAACATAACTTTTTAGTCTTATCCTGTGAAAAATATATTAGGTTAATAATGTTGCAGTTTGATTTGAAAACGTTCCAGTTTAATAGATGTTTTCATAGTTCGTGACGTCTACTGTGTAGCTTACATTCAGTCGGAATGGCATATTTTGTTAGGGTTTATGATTTTTGTTATTCCAGAAGTTGGAAAGTAAACATTGTTCGCGGGAAAACTTCATCGAACCCTATAAATTGCTTAAGAAATGTGAAGTCAGACGCTAATGATATTCGCATATGATATATGGAGCTCACGACTTATCTGACAGAAAGTGCTTCCTAATGCCCATACATAAAATGCGCGCTATTCACATTGAGACATTAAATTGAAATCTTACATTAGAGCAACGGTTATCCGAATCACCAGGGCAGAAAGAGCGGTTGCTTGACGATAGAGTTAAGAAGATGATTAGGGATAGTTTTTTGGTAGGGCGACTTGTGGAGCACTAATGCGTTTTGATTTGAAGGGTGGGGCAGCCGTTGTACTGCAAAAACGGAAACTTAGAACTCATGTCCCAAAATGAATGGATGCATTTACCTTGTTGATGTCTATGGGCTCCAGTGACTACTTAACACCAGGTGCCTTTCTCATGTTAGATTTAAAAAAATATATATAGGAGAACAATGCGAAGATACTAACAGTTCGGATGGATCACGAGGAGTTATTAATAGTAGATATCCATGTTCCAACAAATGACGACAGACTTAGTAATGATTGCTTAAATAATTATGTACCTGTTAATTAATATGGGCCAGCATGAGTTGTCTGTCAGTACAGGCTGATTTTTTGCGTTTATAGGCACACATATGCTCGACAGTGGTGATATTGACTCATGGACATCAACAATGACAGAGGCACAGGCAAGCTCTTGCCGGCCACAGTGTATATCTAAGCGACCGATAACCAGCTACCAAATCGACATTTTAAAACTTTTAAAATGATAATGGAGAATTTTATAACAACTTTGAAAATTATGCAATAATAAACAAGTATATTTATTGTCTATGTTAAGCACTACTACCGACCGACAAGTGTTTTAAAATAAAAAATTTCGTTAGGTACAATTGTTGCACGAGTAACGTGCATAATTGGACGGATATTTTTTTGTACTACACTTTTCTGTAATTTGTGTATTTACAAAAAAAAAAAATTTAAATATTATCTATACAACATAAATTTATTATACAATAAAAAACTAGTACCAACCAATTGATTCTGGGATCAACAAAAACTATAAAAAATACGATTCACACTATACTTTTTGGAACAAATACGTAATTTACATAAATGCATTTTTTAAATTATTGTACCCAATACATATGGACCTATGTAAGTTTACCAACAAAATAAAAGCTCACATTAATCACAAAAACAAAACTTTTTGTGACTTTGTGACAGCCAATGTTCACTAAGCCGTGATTTTAGTGATACATAGATATTCTAGAATTTTCTTTCGAATTGGATATAATTCTAATCAAGAATTGTTATCTTTTGTGTCTTAAAGGTGATCACAAACTAAGGCACATCTGTACCTTTGGTTCGGAATTTCATAACATTCATTTCGCTCTTTCACTATTAATACTAAGAAACGGTACTACGATTTTCGATGTTCAATTAGTTTGAATAACTGTAGCACTTAATTCCCATTTTAATTTAACTATAAACACCACTACAACTAACAATTCGGTCACACCAGTAAATAAATACAATACAGTAAACCCAGAAAACCACTTACAAATAAAACAACAAATACGTCTACAACAATAAAGGCCATCGCACTATACAGGGTGTTGAAAGGCCGTTCCCGAACCTGAAACTAATCTAAAGGCAACGGAAACATATTTTTTTAATTACACCTACAGCTGTCATATTCAGTTCGTATTACATGACCCCCTTGAATGTTTTATGACTTGGTAACGAGACCTTTAAGCCAGTCTTACAATTTCTTTTTATATTCTGCATTAATATAAAAAAATCGAAATGAGATGGGATGAAATAAAGTCTCAATAAAATTGTGGTTTTTTACTGAAACTTTTTCAGATGACTTTTTGAGGAACCCAAAATTGTATGTCCAGCGGCTTTGGTACACATTTGTGCAGTTTCACACACGATTTAAACTTGAAGAAACACTAAATTAACAAATTAAAACAATTCACGCAACTTCGCTCCTCGTGTTCCCACCAAAAAGTCCTAACTCACTATTCAAAGCAAAGTCAGCTGGTTTACAATTGTGTTCCATTGCGTTTAATGCAGTTGCAAATGCAAATAATTCCTTCGTCTTATCATGTCAACAAGAATCACTAGTTCTATCACCTGTCTTCATTTTTGTGAACGATTCAAATACATCCAGTATTCATTAAGTAGTCTGCTGTAACTACAACTTTCTGTTTCTTAATGTAAAGAAGGCTACATCGAATCATTTATTAAGATTCAAGCAGTTTTCGCCTCTAAATGAAACGTAAAAATACTGAAACCAGAAGCGGCAAGATACTAATGTTTTTTTCTTTCTTTCTCAAAGCGATTGTGGTAAATGTGTAATTTTTAAAATCGTAATTCATTTCAGCAATATGCTTTTCACGATTTTTACTATTGCTTTTATCCACGCTGTGCTTTATTCATTTTTAATAATGGTGAAGAATAAATTTTTTTTCATAGTTGTTTGTTATTACTTTTGCATTACAAAAGTGATTTCTATTAAAATCTTAAATCCGTGCTTGTCAGTGATCTATTTTGTGCGAATTGTGGTCGAGTTGTGGCCACTCTCTTAAATCTTCAATCCTATTTTCATGAGAGTTCACCAATGGGTGCATTCTGAAGCCACAAGTCGTGGATAAAGTTGTATAGATCGTCGCTGACGGCCACCTGAAAATAATTTTATAATATTAAGTTGTTTACCATTATTTTCGACAATTAAAATTAAAACTAATCATAAATCTCTTACGATTCTAAACTACACAGCGATTAAGGTAGTTTTCCAATTACAGAGCATAATGCGACTCAGTGACGCACAATGCCGAATTATGCTGAAGCTTAATTGGAACGTGAATTAGTTTTCAAATGCATCAGCAGAGTGCGCTAAGTTAGCACAGTTTTAATTAACTTTGATTATTTCTAAGAAACTACGACGAAACGAAAGCCTTACAATTTTTTTCAACATTAAATAATATTACTAACGATAATATAAACAAAATTTCAATCAATGCCAACTTAAAGAAAAAACACTTGTCAATTTTCTGTCACTGAGTCGGTATCGATTGCGAGTATCACGCGAGAGCAGTACTTTTGAGAGTGCTCGATTGTGCGGCTGTAGTTGGAACATTCAACGTTGAGCATTATGCCGCATAATGCGCTCTTGTGCTGTAATTGGAAAACTACCTAAATCTGCTATACAAAGCATCATATAAAAAGCCTGTTTATTTTTTGATAACGTTAACAGTGATTTCTTGTTCGGTGGTTACGACCATTCGTATAAAAGCTTTAATAAATTTAATGTAAAAGTTTTGAAAACTTTAACTTTCAGTCGCTTGATGATCTTAAGGCGATCATTCATTCTGCTACATTTCCAACCTGAGACCTACATTTAATTTATTTATGATAGTTCTTCTATCTATTTTTTCTACGGCCATCTGATGGTTAGTGGTTACCGTCACTCTTGGACGTCAGCAATGCCAGGGAAACAGCCAAAACGCGCTTACCATTAATTTTTTATTCTGAATTTAATGAATTATTAATTTATGAATTTAGACTTCCGACCTCACTTTTTAATCTGACTCCGTCTCCCTTATTGTTCAAGTTCTCTTAGCTATTTTATTTACTTTACGGCTGTATACATAGAGACGAGAATGGTAACTCTGGATAACGAAACCGTTTCACACCATTTCTTGTCAAAGCGCTGTCCACGGAATAACCGGTAAGTTTAAATTTTCTTTACTGACTCGGTGGTGCGGTAATTAGTGCCGTCAATACCTGGGCCGAGGGCTGTGGGTTCGATTCCCGTATCGGGTAAACATTCGTGTCATGAACAGGTTTTTTTTTATTGTTTAGATTTTGCTGGACGAGCTCACAGCCCACCTGGTGTTAAGTGGTTACTGGGGCCCATAGACGTATAATGGGTCATGGTATGGTGGGTGGCGACATAGTAAATGTCGTCACCCACCTTGAAATATGAGTTCTCAGATTCCGTATAGTTACAAAGGCTGCCCCACCCTTCAAACCGAAACGCATTACTGCTTCACGGCAGAAATAGGCAGGCTGGTGGCACTTACCCGCGCGGACTCAGAAGAGGTCCTACCACCAGTAGATTGTATTTTTACTCTTTGTCTCGGTGTTTAATATCTATATGATATGTACTTAATATTTAAACGTATAAAGGTATGTATATTATTAGTCTTTGGTTCTTATACTCATTGTACGGAGAATCCTAATTTAGGACCAGATGGGCATATGTGGTTATTAACACAATATGAACCACCCATTCCTGTCATAGCCACATTAGCATTATCGGTGCTGAGAATGACTTGATATGAATCTAGGATCTGTAGATAGACTGTAACCGATTGATGACATCATCGTGACGCGTGCACACCGCGAGATTCATATCACGTTCTGCTCGCGTCAGACAGGGTTTCAAGCATTCACACAAAATACACATACACATACACGCACACACACACAAACTAGTGGACATGTCCAAAGTGGTTGTCATTCCTACGGCGGCTGTTCTTTGTGAAAATTTACTTAATTAGATTACTTTAATCTCGAAACAATTTGATTTGTCCTTGTACATTACAATTCATATTTTACAATAGTTTTTCTGCAATTCTTCGACATTCAGTATAGTGATAGCGATCACACATAATATATATGACGGCGCCAGCGGTGGCTGAGCGGCAGTTTCAGTCATCACTCGTATTCGGTTGAACTCAGTTTAATGCAATAATAGTCAATATCAATAAAAGTCAATAAAACCAACTCTCAACAAATAATTTTCACAGGGTAAACCGACAGTTTCGTTCTAACAGACCGACTGACTGACTGCATGCCCGAGACTGACGGACAGACTGACTGACTGAGACGGACTGATACGACTCTTTTTTTTCCCTACCTAAGCTGGTAGCCTTGAGAGGCTATTCCAGCGTAACCTTAACTAGTAGGTGAGCTCACGGGGCTCAAACCTGACGACGTTGCAGAGACGTTGCAGCAAGAGCCGTGCTTCGCAGAATCTACCACCGGATCGGAATCGCGACCCACTGAGAAGATTCGGCGAGAAACTCAGTGGGCTGTGTCTGAGAGTTAATTTACTCGTCGAGCCCTTCGTCGCAAGCGACGGGTTCGACGAGAACGGCGACCGATGCTTGAAGTACCTAGAAGCACCGTTAGTGGATCGGGAGGATCCGAGATGACGTGTTTTGGGCGACGTCGACTGCTTTCCATTCTGTCCGCAGGATCGGGAATGTAGTTACCGGCGGCCACGATGAGAGGATTCTCGTGTCGTGCCGCTTTATCGAAGTGGCGCATCGACGCCGACTGCATATACTTACTGGTGGACTCTAAGTCCAGGTCTTCATGGAGGTCGACGTTCCTGACGAACCACGGGGCTCCGACGGCTATCCTGCAAAAACGGAATTGAATAATTTGGAAGGATTTTAAGTGAGTGCGGGCCGCGTGAGCGAACACTACACTTGCATAGGTCATGACGGGGCGTATGCAAGTTTTGTAGAGTGTCACCTTATTTCTAAGGGAAATTTTACTTCGCCTACATATCATCGGGTAGAGACGTCCTAGAATGAAGGCGGCACGGTCGCGTACTGTCTTAATATGAGGGCGGAATGTCATCCTTCGGTCGAGGGTGACGCCTTAATATTTGACCTTCGGGGCCCACGGTATGGGCTGGTCGAACATCGTGATTGGGCGAATGGCGGAGGCGGAGGTGTCGACGCGCCTAGACGGGAGAGGGATGCTCAACGTGGTGTTCGGAGAGCGACCCCTTTTGAAGAGCACCGCTGTGCTTTTCGTGGGGTTGATGTCGATGCGCCACTTCCGGAACCACTGTCCCATGGTGGTAGCTGCGGTCTGAAGTCGTCGATGAAGTAACGTCTTCTTCCTACACGAGTAGTAGATGGCGGTGTCATCGGCGAAGAGCGCCAGATGGGACTCCGGAGACCGGGGTATATCATTGATATACAAACTAAATAGTAACGGGGAGAGGGCGGAGCCTTGCGGGACTCCGGCTGTGACGTGACGGGGGCGGGAGCGCGTTCCCTCGACTCGATATCGGAACGAACGGTTCGACAAGTAGTCTCGTATGATGAGATACGACTCTGTCCACGTACCGCCATTTTATACTCTGGCGCTACGGCGTCTACCCTACATTTTTGTAATATTTATAAAAACAACATTTTATCATTTAAAATAATAATCATAACAACGTCTTAATATTACTAAAAGTCGTTATCCACGACATATACTTTAGTAATTAATTAGCAATAAAGACATTAAAGTCGTTTTTACCTTATAAGGCGTAGGATTCAAGTTACGTTTAATGTCTTGACGAAGTGTCCTTAGAGACGACTGTACCCTCTCTCTAACCTTTGACAAGGGTTTTGGTGCCGTACAAACGCGTCCATCTTTCCAGCATATCTATAAATAATAGGATATTTATTATATAGTAGATACACTAATCAAGTTAATAAACAATCGAGCTCATCGCCCATCAGTTCCCGGGACCCCGAGACGACACCGCAACGCGATTGATGGCGCCCACATTCACAGATATTAATTAGACTTAACTCTCTGTTGTAAAACAATATCCCGTCCTTAACACATGAAGGTATGGTTGCCTCGTGTCAGAAAGCTCATTTACTCAGAATACCCAACAATATTCAAAATAAGAATCTAGGGAGACGTAGAGAAACGTAGATAAGGATGTCACTAGTATAGTGAGCTATTTAGATTCTTACTTCATAGACTCTATCTTAAGCACTGGTTGTGAGGTAATTTGAGGAGGCACGGTTAATCCGTAATGCTTTTTCTTGCGGCCATACTTATGAGTAGCAAAGAATCAAATTAAATTAAAGACTACGTTTTATTTTTATAGGTTGGCAGCCCTGCCCCAAACCTACACTAGACTTACCCTAGACAAACCGTTAAAAATAATTCACCCACCTTATAAAGATGTTCGACATAGCTGGGGATAACGTAGGCTCGTTTCGACTCTTGGAACGGATGTCGGCAGAGCACTTTCTGACCGACGACCGGCGCTGGTTCCGAAGATCTCTGCAGTAAATCTATGAGCGCGTGTCCATCCGCACCGAACAGCCGATATGCCTATAAACAATAGTAATAATCTTTTTGATTCATTTTTTTTCCTTCCTAATCTGATGGTCTTGAGATACCATATCAGCGTCACCGGGCGAGTAGGTGAGCTCACGGAGCTCAAACCTGACGTTGTTGCTAGCACAAACCATAGCAAGAGACGTACTTCGCAGAATTTACCACCGGATCGGAAACGCGACCCACTGAGAAGATACGGCGAGAAACTCAGTGGGCTGATCTTTTTGAGGTGAAACATCTATAGACGCCCGTAAAACCGATTGCTGACGTAGCTATCTGACGGTATTTAAGTAGTAGTGGGTATGGTGTGGCGACGCGTCGCCATGGGCAAGCGATTGTTTCTTAATATTAATAATATTTTATTTTTCATTAAACCACGTAAATTTCCTGTCGTAAACTATCATTTTATGCATCTCTATACCTGTACAGAAGAATTTTTTTAATCCTTTAGATTGGCACACGAGCTCACCGTCCAACTGATATTAAGTAATCCGAATCCATGGCCTCCGCGATTCAAATGTATGTATACCAATAATGTAGACCAGCAGTAGATCAACCCACCCATCTTGAGATCGAATCCCTTCAAACCGGAACATATGACTGCGGCGATGCAGAAATAGACGGAATGCTGGTATCAGATCGGCGGGCTTCTCTCTCTTACCCACCCTCTCTTCTTTTCAGTACCCGTTGAGCGCATTTATACCCGAGAATTTCAAACTTTTAATATATAATATTAAGTTTTTTTTTTTGGTAGTAAACCAAATTGTTTAGTTATCTCAGTCATTCTCGGATTCACTAGAACAACACAAAAAATGACAACAAACTCGGTTCGGCCGCTTACGTAGTTCACTAACGCCATAGTTTTATGAGGGCTTGTGCAATATGATTTCTATCTTTTGATGATTTTGCTCCTTTCAACTCTGTCCTATTGCGAGGCAGTCATACCATTTCCATCATATTATAGACATATATTACAGTCCAGACCTCAACGTTACGTCACAAGGTCGTGGCGAAGTCAAAAACATAAACTCGTTTACTAGTCTGACAAATTAATAAACTTTTATGAACATTTATCCCAGGATCTTATGAAGTATATATATGAAAAGGGGTCCACGAAGTTTCAAATTTATAGGTCAATTATTTATACCTTTCATGCCATTATTTATGCCAACGGAGATTAGAAAAAAAATTGTTAGTTAACAATTCAATAACTTTTTGATAATGGGGATAAAACTTTTTTTCCAACGGGGCTCGAATCTTTTAAGTGTTAAGAAGATACTAGTATTTTTTCAAATCTTTAAAATGACATTTTATGTTATAAAAAAATATTTTATCTGACGAACTCTTTTTAGCGGTGGCGCGCGCATGCGTAAAAGCCGCGCGGAGCCCTATTTTCACGTCAAATTAAAATAATAATTAATAGAGATAGACTTCTACGGACTTTTTTATTGGAAATTTCCTCCTCTTTAACGAACTTGTTTCAAAGTTCCTTAGATATTAATATTTTTCGAGTTATTAACGAAAAATTATATATTTTTTTTTTCATCTTATTTTGTTAATAACAATTGCAATTTTTTACCTGCACCAAAATCCTTCAAAAACATTTTTCTAGAGGTGATTCCGAATCCAATGAGCTCATATTTTTAGGACCTTTATCTCTATTTTTCATGTTTTTGAACTTGTTGACTAGACTATACTAATCTACTTAAATACAAAAAAGATAAACGCTGCGATATGAAATATAATTTAATCAGGAAATAAACATTCACTCTTGCGTAAGATTATAATTTAGCTGTAAATATATTATCTATCATACATTGTTATGATTACTTTGTTTTGAATCGTTAAATTTTCGTGATAGCACCATTGAGAAGTTCAGGGTCGTGTTATTCGACATGTTTAAGTCGTATATTAGAAATACAATATTAGAGGCATAACGTCCGATGTCTATATTTTCAACGATTTGAATTTGTAGAGTTCGAATTTAATATCAATGGAAGCGTTGTAGCTCATTTGATCTAAACATCTTGATCTAATCGTTTTTATATCGAGAAAGAAATAAAAAACGTTTTTTATCTTTTTTATTATGATTATATTATTGAAAGTGGTTTAAAAAAATTGTGGATTAGACCTTTGTTTGTAGTCAAGAATTTGTCTACTTCATTTTGGTTTCTAAAATCGGAATTATAACATAATCTTTTTTTTATAACTTCGCTCGGTGATCGAAATTTCGTCCATAATTACTGACACCTCAGAGCATTTCGATTCATTTTATATATTATTATACGTTAATTTTCATTTGCTTTTCGTATCTTATTAAAATTTTGATAAAAAAACTCACTTAGTCCAAAAAAAAATTGTTGATAACAATATACATAGTCCGTCAAATAGCCACTTATGAAACTTGTTTGTTAAGTTGAGGAAACAATGATAATGACTTTTTTGTCTTTGCGTATTTATTTGCAGATCAAATACACTTGTATCAAATAAAGTAATATAAATAAATACTATAATTATTAGTTTTGTTTTGATTTCGATGTATTTAACATCAAAAGCACCTTTGTTCGCATCTAGTTCTATTTATAAACTCAGCATTCAAAATTTATAATATGAGCATGCAAAGTAAGGTTTTTTACGATTTCGCGTTTTCGCTTCTCAGCCGGTCATAAGATTTAGCATATACGTTATCAGAAATACAGAAGAAGATACAGGGATCATCCAATGAAAAGTAGTATTTTCGGGCGATAGAAAGATACTCTTTAGGGTGTCGTCTGGTATATCAATTCGGCTTATTGACATGCACATAACACATTATACCTGGAGTATATATAAATTAAATGGATTCCGGATGCTTTCATTTTTTATCGGTAAATTACTTTATAACCGTTTATCATGCAATCGCTAGAAGCGACTTTATTTCTTCAGTATAAAATAAAAAAGTACTCTATTTTGGAGACGAGACCCGTTAATGTGATACGGGGTAAAGGTAAATGTTCAATTGAATTTTTATTATTGATTTCAGAGACAGACAATCATACAGTTTAGTTGACGGTGAATGGTTACCGTCACTCATGGACATCAGTGGAGCCGGTAGTATAATAAAGCCACTGCCTTCCGCTAATATGCCGGCGCCTGGGTAGAAGAATTTATCTAGTCTAAAGATTTTCCTTTCTTTTGTACCGAAAATCTAATGTTTACTCGTGCTCGCTGTTTTATTACAATATCCTTTGATGAGCCTCAGGCACGATAAGATAAAACTGTTTTAGTGATACTAGTGCATAAATATTACAAATCCAGCAGTATTTATATCTTACGGCTAAAATACTTCAATGACTTGCATTTCTTTACAATGTAGAAACATTTTTCCTGTTAGTGACTGTTCAAATTTTTGCTGACTGCTTCGCGACTTAATTAAATATGCTTTAACAACATTAGTTGAGGTAGCAACTAGGGTTTCGAAATGAAAGTGTTTGGTAGGAAAAAATGATGTAGATTCTTTTACTGTGGACAGATGATTGAGAAGTAGCAAGAACTCGAGGAATTGCGATTAATAAGCAGGAGAGACGATTTATATATAAATAGATAACTTTTTTTTCATTTATTCACCAGGGTTTACCCGATTCTTTTTTGGAAGGTTTTTTAAAAGCTGGCAATATAAAAACAAACACGGAAATTTAGTATTGACAAAAAATTCATCTATATCTTGAGATTTCAATGGTTGTGGTAGAATTTACATCGTGGCGCGAAACGCTCGTTTATCATTACGATCTACTGACAGCAAACACGTACATTTAAATAATTACTAAATCCATATAATATACTACCTGGTCTCTTTATTGCTTTAAGTGGGGCAGGTGCGCCGTAAGGCCTTATGTAAAAAGTTACATTGTTTTATGATTGAAGCATTACTGGTGGCCCGGAGGCCTTTCCGGTTTCACCAGGACATGTGGGCGAGCCAGGCTCAGCCAGGAAAAATAATAACATACCCCACCTATACCCCATACATAACAACGTTAATATCGCCACCCACTTTGACATTAGAGGCGAAAAGTTTCTATAGCATTATTTAAGGGTTGTTTCATCTTTAAAACCGGAATAGATGACTTTATTCGAGGCATATAAGCGCAAGATGCGTCTAATTAACCATACGCTCGACCACGAATAAAATAACAGATTGGTTCGGATTGGCCAATATAGTGACATAAATACTTAATTATTTTTTTATGGTTGAGGTATTACTGTTGGCTCGGAGGCCTTTCCAGTTTCACCAGGACAGGTGGGCGAGCAAAGCCTCATCCAGAAGGGGCAGGATTTGCTGACAGCTGCCCGAGCGCCTCCAAAGGAGACCTAACAACTCAAGGGCAGCTGCTTCACGAATGAAACATAAATACTACGACGCGCTTACCTCTTTGTGTCCGGGTATGGTTACTTTGCCAACGTCCTGGCTGAGTTTTATACGCGGCTGGCCGTTTATTTCGACCAACTTGTAGACGCAACCGAGAGCAGGTTGCCNGGGCAGGATTTGCTGACAGCTGCCCGAGCGCCTCCAAAGGAGACCTAACAACTCAAGGGCAGCTGCTTCACGAATGAAACATAAATACTACGACGCGCTTACCTCTTTGTGTCCGGGTATGGTTACTTTGCCAACGTCCTGGCTGAGTTTTATACGCGGCTGGCCGTTTATTTCGACCAACTTGTAGACGCAACCGAGAGCAGGTTGCCGCTGACATGTCACTGAAAATGAATTGGACTTCAATTGTACAAGTTTCGACCCAACAATTATTAATTTAAGAGTTTTGATAATTCCGACACGAAGGCATCAAATTCGTGTCACAAAATCTGTATTTCGATGTTATGTTTTTCAATGATGATTATTATTTTTGAATTGCATATTCACATTACGATGAATATGCAGTTATATCGAAAACGTCCCTATAGTGAAAACAACTGAAATCACTATTGATACCTGAGACGATAATAATGTTATTAGTAATTTTATATGAAGTTTTTTTAATTGCGCAATGTAATTTCCCCGGACGGACGAGGTCAATAGCCTTGTACGACATTGTCGGCGTCCGAAAAAAATATATTATATAATAATATATAGTAATGTAAATAACTTGTCGTGTATTTTTCTAAAATGTTCTATATTATTACGTATTATTAGCATACAAGTCAGTAAAGCATGGCGATGAATGTTAAGTGTGGGTATGTCGGGTATGTTTCGGATAAAGAGCTTGGACCCGTGTGCATGACTTAAGGAATATATAGGTCATACTTATTTAGTTCAAAAACTCTTTAGAAGAACATGTATATTTGTACATACAGCCATGTATATTTCAAGGCGATTAAAACCCAAAGCACAAAGATAGTAGGACTATTTCACTATAGCTCACAAATAGTCTAGATTATGACTTGAGAGAAAATTTGTAGTACACTTTTAAAAAGATTAAATTGGATACATCTACAACACGAAAGGTGATGCATTTACAGACGCTTAGATATGTATTAATTTGGAAACATGTGTAAAATTAATAGAATATAATTTAAAGTTGTTGCAAAGCCGTAATCAATGACAGTCATGTCGTCTAAATATTCATTACATTATGAAGCAATTCTGTATGGTATTATTAAATCAATTAAATTTAATATTATAAATGCATTATTGGAGTCAGCGAAATATTTTTTCCTGTTTGTATTCATCACAATCCATTGTCCTCGTGAAGTTTAATTATATCAAAAGTTTCAACTTATGTATTTACCGCTGCATAATATTTTCGTATGCTAAAAGTCTATAGTGTCGGATACATACATAAATACCCTCAAAGATACGTGAACATTCGTTATCAAGCTAATTTAACCTGAAAACTGAACTATATATTAATAAGTGAAGCAAAAACTTTGTACCCCTTTTTACGAAAATTGCGCGGATAGAGGAGTATAAAATTTCCCACACTTATAGAGGATATAGAGAAGAAGTGCAGAATGATAATATTTTTTAAAAAATTATGCATTAATAATACATTAAATCAATAAAAAAACATTACACAAACTACCATGTATTTGAAACACACACAAACACACACACACACATATATAATGTCAAACTTTTGTTATTGCTTAAAGTCTGTGGTCAAATTGAGAATAGGTTAATATTGTTTATCTTTAATAATATTTGTCTATTGTGTAGTCTTGGCGAAATCTGTGATTATAGAAGTGTAATAGTCTTTGACAATAGAACCTTGATAATGTTCAAACTTATAATTTTAATTAATTAGCCGAATTTAGACTACTTAGAATTTAGACTACCACTAGTCATATTAAATGTATGAACTAACAAACATTATTACAACAATAGCAATCGGAAGACTATATTTGTGAACAAATTCGTATATCTAGCTGATATTGTACTATTTATCATACAACGAAGTACATGATTTAGCAATGAGACATCGCGATTTGTTTTAAATAATGACGCATCCTTTTTGAGTATAAATGTGGGTATGTGCGAATTTTTCTATACACCAATGACACGAGACTCACCTAAATGCGTTCCGATGCCGAAACAATCAATTTTATGACCCTGCTCGTTTAAACTTAGAATGGTTTCTTCATTAATATCATTGGATGCGACGATTGTTAGTTTAGCGAACCAAGGGACGTTGAATGTTTCCCCGACCTTTTCGAACGTCTCCCTGGCCAGTACTGATAGATACGCCAAATCACCACTATCAATCCTAATGCCCACGGCTCTGTAGCCACAATCGTTTAACGCTAAGGCCACAGCACAAAAGTTCAGTAGTCCACTCCTGTCGATAAAAAACCGGTTGTTAACTTATGCCTTTAAAAAAAAATACATTATATTATACTGTTTTAACATCCAGGGTGTACGACAACCAAAAATCTTATGTTTTGTTGCAACTAAATACTTCAAACGTCTATTGATAAATTATCTACGAACCAAAATACTTCATGATACTATAATCAATAATAATTTTAATCGTATCAAGGTCTTCAAACTGTGTCTACCAAAATAATCTCTTATCGAACACGCTATAGTTACACAATAGACATACAAATAATAATAATTGAACAAAAAAGAAAAAAAAAAAACATTCTCACAATCAAAATTTATGATGCGGTGAGTGCATGCAAATATAACAGTTACAATTGATAACAGTGAATGAGTGCATATCCCTATACAATGCAACTGTGCCCAATGAATATCGTCCCTAATGTTGCTCATACGTCCGAAGACATTACGTCACACTGAAGCAAGTACAATGTCGATCTCGTACATGTTCTCATTTATTTACATTCGGCTGCTTACGTGAAGCGCCGTCCACATACGCTTCACTGAAAAAGCGAAATAATATAAAATATAGTATGTATGTGTCTCGGTGAGTAGTTGTCGCGCGTGTCGAGTTCAATATCGCGAAGTGTACGTGTGATGTACTGATGCAGCGTTGCCAACTCGAAATTCGTCAAGGTGGGAGATAGGGTTCTACAAGTTGGTAGTTTCCAACAAACACTACTACAACACTAGTCTTTTAGATACCCTCCAATAAGAATCTGGCATCCTTAATTTATTTTTCGATTGGATAAGATATATTTGAACTATTTTTATTAGAAATCCAATGATAAAACAGAATTACAGACCGCTAATATTCTTCTTTTTCCCATAGTTGAGAATATTTTTGATTGTAATGCATCTTTTTTAATTTTCGAAGAGGAGAATTTTCTTCGTTTTCACTTTCACTTTCACTCATTTTGATAGTGTTAAATTGAAACGTTTTAAAAATTACAATCAGTTATTTGTTAATTGAATCGCGTTATGATTCAAACTTTTTGAAAACTTCAAAAGTTGGTAGATAAAGTGGTAGGTTTGATTACGACACTAAAAGTTGGTAGAGTTGGCAACGCTGTACTGATGTACCATGCCCCGCCCAAACGTTACTCTGTCAATGAGGCCTACCTTCCCAGAACGATATATTTGTTATTAATATTTATATATGTATATATAATATATAATTACATTCTAATAACTGTTAAATTCCACATAAAATTATAAAATGAACAATGCAAACAATAATATAATATTTATGTAAGACACCATACAAAATGTCAATGGTGAATTGTCTATTTGCATCTTTACCTCAGTGTGCGTTCGACCGTGCTAGATCCATATGTACTATGTATTGTCGGTGCTATTTGTACTATAGTACCATTGGTTCCACAGTTGCTATTGTAGCCAGAATGCCCATTCGTAATACGCTGCCTGTGACGTGACGTTAAGCCTTGAAAATTATACCTCTTGACATCGTACGTATCCACTAAAGCCAAGAAACCCGTCGGAAAGGCTATGGCGTATGATATAAGGGCGGCCAGTTCGCCATCGCTGGATTCCTCTGTCGATACATCGATAACGGTAGAGACGCGACTCCGCCATTCCATTGCCGACTCTAGAAGATTACACGGCTCTCGTGTCTGCGCGTGCGTCAGCGTCACTCTATGTATGTCGTCTAAAGTACTGAAGGATGTAACGAACNCCAAGAAACCCGTCGGAAAGGCTATGGCGTATGATATAAGGGCGGCCAGTTCGCCATCGCTGGATTCCTCTGTCGATACATCGATAACGGTAGAGACGCGACTCCGCCATTCCATTGCCGACTCTAGAAGATTACACGGCTCTCGTGTCTGCGCGTGCGTCAGCGTCACTCTATGTATGTCGTCTAAAGTACTGAAGGACGTAACGAACGAATGCGCGTGGGTGCCCTTTACCGGTATATTGAACATCTTTCCCGCCAGAACGTTGCTGGTCCCGTCAAACCCACCTGAAAAGTTTTAACATTCTATAACATCTAATACAGTAGCGAATGCCATCGAATGCAATGCGATGAGTCACTAGGACGATACGAAAGAAGCGTTCCCATGAACTAATAAGCCGCCCACGGAGTCTTGTCATGACTCACGGCCAGGCGCTGACATGCAACAAAAAACTTCGCAGCACAAACAAAGTAATTTGCTAACGAAAGCCGATTTCGTGTTGCGATGTTTCTTTTTACGGTAAAAGTTGTTACTTTCAAGGGCGAGATTCCATAGATTGCCTGATTAAAACTATTAGATCGAAGTACATCGGCTTTAGGGGTGTCTTGCGAGTCAAAGGCGTGGCGGGGTGTTTTTATCGCACAAGTCTGAAGGGCGGGCAGCCTCGTGCATGGCACCGGTTATTGCTAGTCACCCGAGCCAGAGAACCGTGCTGGTGTAATCGATAAGCTTCTATCTGAATTGTAACAGGCAATTGAAACCGAATAAATAATAGATACGTGTATTGTTTCATCGCTAAAATTTCATTTTTTTTTCCTACTTATACTGATAGTCTTGAGAGGCTATTTCAGCTTCTCCTTGACGTGTAGGTGAGTTCACGGGGCTCAAACCGGAGTGTTGCTAACACTGGCCCTAACAAGGGCAGTGCTTCAGAGAAATTACCACCGGATCGGAAACGCGACCCACTGAGAAGATCCGGCGAGAAACTCAGTGGGCTGTGTCTGTGGGAAATTTCATACCGATGTACGCATATTTGGACGCCGATAGCCCTCCATCGGGTCCTTGCGCTCTCCGTAGTCCGAATTCGAGTAGGGATACATTTTTACCGGCCACCATCCGATATCTCGCAGCGTTCGTGGCCATCAAACTAAAACAAAAAAATATATGAATTGTTGTGTATATCTATATGTTCATATTTTATCTTAGTTTATTTTATAAGGGATTCGGCTCACACGAAATTAGCTACACCATTAAGAAAACTAGACCTATATAGAAAAGATAGCAATGATATGATTATTTACTTTACCAAGTCTTAGTACTCACAGCCTATGCGATTTTATAACGTGTTCTATGCATCATATTATTTATAATAAATATTGTAATGTTAAGTAAAATATAACAAGATTTTTGTTCTGTTCCGGGTACGTTGTTTAATTCCACATTACATCATGTTACTACTATTCTCAAGTGATAAAATTCTAGTCGTATCAAAGGAGCAATTGACAGATAAATTTACAGTGAAGTGTGACGTTGTCTATATCTTGAGTACATCTCATATACTAAAATGTATGTTTATTCATATTCTACGTGTTCGCACATGGTTTACGATTGATCTGAAACTTTGTACAGTTCAGAGATTTTTGTCAACAACAAGACATTTTAATAAAATAGTGTTTTCATATACTAGGGATAGTCAATAGCAAGGTAGAGGTTCCGTACTACATTATAAAAAGAAACATACATACTCTTTAGAACCTTAGTACCCTATAGAAATCACCAAAGTTTACATTGACGTATTACAAGCCAGTGGAAGTAATCAACGATCCTGCCTATTTCTGTCGAAAAGCCGTCATGCGTTATATTTTGAAAGGTGGGAGAGCCGATACGCAATCCAATCGAGATTTTGACCTCATGTCTCAAGGTATCACTTTGGCCGTGTGAACACGCTTTAGAATATTCTCCCTCCCCTCGAAGTTTTGTCAACGCCGTTTTCCTTTAAACGATATTTGAACGAAGTGTTAGACTATATAGTTAGCTGCTCGACTCCTACAATCAACGTAAATAATTGAGTATACAAATATAAAAACACATGTTAAAGTTTGAACGATACTAATGCACAGCAGTAGCAGATTATTCTTTAATAAAAACGATATGGATTTTCGGCGAATAATGAAAATAAGATAATTATGTTTGTTGGATGGGATGGTTGGATCGGATAACAAGTAATTAACCGAACCAGTCATGCCTGACATGATAACTACAGGTAGGATTTTTTTTTTATTGCTGTAAATGAGTATACGCGGCGCCTAGTAAATATATAAGAGAGTTGTAACGGGTAGTTATATATCTTTTTTTACAATTTACCTCAAACGTTTTTTTACAGTTTAGCAACACTTGAGAGCTCATGAATATTTGACGTGGATGCTGTTATCCATCTTTAAACATGCGGTCGAAATCTCAAATGAATTGGAACATATGCATTAAATATCTTGCTTATCGAACCGAAACGCATGACTTCTACTAAAAGTAAACAAACAGGCCACTACTATCATAGTTCATCGTGGACTTACTTATTGAGTTGTATCACTAACTAAGAAACATTACGTCGTATATAATTATTAGATCACACTGAAATAAAATAAAACGCCTAATTTTCCATTCGCATTCGAGTCTTTGCTTTTCTTTGAGGACTGTGCTATTTGTAATTATATTCCACACCAAAACTTACCTGGCAAAGTTGACTAATGTTAGCAGAGTGGTCTCCAATAGCTGTGCCACAATGAGCGGACCTTCAACTCTCAACAATGGCACCCTAAAAGTAAAATAGCTTGTAAACATTTAAAACCATATTTATTTGTTCACATTATTTATTTTGCGTTTTATTTAAAATTGTAAATATCTAATCACGAGTGGGGGTACCCAAAGATCAAACTTCGACTTTATTCACTAGCACCTAAGATTTAGATTACATTTTCTCTTGTGTTATTTGAATATTTACGCTAAAGCTCTAAATATCTATTAAACAAAACAAAGAATTTGATTGATAAACAGCTGAGAAAAAAATTGTTAGCTGTTTTGTCGTTGCCTATTTATCTATAAATATTATGTAATAAACCCGAACACCAGATTCGACGTACCGATAAAAGATCCATTAGACAAATTAGTCTCCCTTTGTATTTTTAAACAACATGAAAGCTCGAGACAAAATTAATGAAACTACGAAATTTATACTAGGTACGCAGTTATAATGCTGCCATATTTAGTTATAATACATGTAAACATTGTTCCAGTTTTGAAAATTTTAATTAGGTACATTAAATTACAAAACAAAACTGGACTAGGTCATGGGTATTGTAAAAAAAAACCCAGAAACTTGATACCGAAGCGGCTTAGTTCGATATTTATGTATAAAAGGTGCATTTAGATATTTTTCTTGATGATATTTGAATTATTTAAAAATGGTAGGTAGATGTTGCACTTGAACTAGCGTCGCAATCTTCGCTCTGGCCAATCACGGAGTCGTGCTTAATCCGTTTTACTATTCCAAGAGTTGTAGGTAGTGATTGGGGAGTTTACGCATCGCCCAAACAACCTCGTTACCGAGTTCGTCAGTTATATTGAACGGACTTGTACGGTCTAAGGACCACTTGAACGGTCGGTTAGTTCTTTTGCCGTCTATTTTATATACATATGGGAACGGTCAATTCGTTCCTTGTCGTCTGGTTCGCGTCCGTCTTTTAGGAAGTCAAAAAAGTACTGCCTGCCGCTAGTCACGTACGCCCTCGTTCCATTTCTCTCTATTTTTGAATTCTTGTCAAGTATCTGTCTTAGTCTGTGTCTAGTCGTTGTAGGTCTTATGCCCTGTCAAAAAGGTTGCATGCCACGACATATTTTATAACATAATGATAAAAATCGTAAAATCTTCACGACCAGCTCATGAAGTCTGTGCCTGACTCTGTTCAAAAAGAAAACTGCTGAGACTTTTATAAAATGACCGTTACATAGTTACACACATAAGTCAGCTAATGAATCCAATTTGATAAGTGCCCACCGAACGCAATTTGCACGTGAGCATTTATTTTCGACGTCGCTGGAGCCGGCTAGTTCATCTTCGTTAGCTTCACAACTTCTTTAACTTGAAATTTTTTATCTGGTATTTAAATGGCGTTGGTTTTTTTTTTATGATTGAAAGATTACTGGTGGCCCGGAGGCCTTTCCAGTTTCACCAGGAAAGGTGGGCGAGCAAAGGCTCAGTCAGGAGGGGTGAGATTTGCTAACTGCCCGAGCGCCTCCGAAGGAGACCTAACAATTTAAGAGCAACTGCTTCGCAAATGAATCTACTACCGGATCGGAATCGCGACCCGTTGAGAAGATCAAGGCGTTGGTAACACGGCCATGAGATAGCCAACACGAAGCTAACATATCGGAACGAAAGAATGAAATAAAACATTTATGATATTTTTCATTAGCTAAAGTTCTAGTGCAATACGTTCCTCAGGAAACCTTGCAGAAGAGAAACCTTGAGAATAAGTAACAACGTGTAGTGACATTGATGAATTCGATTTCAAATAAAATGATCAATGTATCTATAGTCTAGTATCTTTACTATCCATAACCGTCACAATTTTACAGAATAACTAGCTGACCCGGCAAACATTGTTTTGCCATATATAAGATTTCTAGGGAATTTCTAGTGTAGAAAAAAAAACTAACTTATTGTAAGTGTGTAAGGATGTGGAATATGAGTGAAAAAGGCCTGGAGCGCTGTGAACGATGAGGGAATGTTGGTTAAAAATAACAAAACATCAAACATTAAAAAAATATATATACATCAAAAAAAAAAAAATTGGTGTGAACACCCCTTATCACTTAAAGGTTAGAAAAATAGATAGTAGCCGATTCTCAGGCTTACTCAATATGCATAAAAAATTTCATGAGAATCGGTCAAGCGGTTTCGGAGGAGTATGGCAACGAAAACTGTGACACGAGAATTTTATATATTAGATAAAACTCATTGTCAAAGTATTTTTAACAAATGTCTAGTCCAATTTAGTGTTTTTTTTCATAACACCGAATTTGATTGATAAGTACATGTGTATTGTTATTATGGTTCTTATGGCAGATTAAAAAAACTGGATTAAAACGTTTACCGGCATAGATAATGTTAGTAACGGTACACGTAATTTAAAAATACAAAGCGATTGAGCCATCGAAGTTCAGGTGTCCAGGAACGTACTAATACAAATCTGACCTCGGAAACACCACAGATCCTTCTTCAATAGCACTTACAATAATGTCCTTGCAAGTTAGTTCTTTGAGATATAAATAAAATTCAGGTTCAATGTTTTCAGGTAATGTTTGCTTCAAATATTTGATATCTGTAACAAATATAATCTAAATTCATTCTCATTTTACCAATCATGTTGTCACTTTTAAACAACAAGTACTTCAAATAATTTGGTACTTGATTTCTGTCTCATATAGTGATTAATAAGGGTGGCTATTTTAGAGCTTGAATGCTTTAACATCGCAACAATAACGATAATAAAAAGAATTAACCATGAGCAAGGAAGGTCATTTTTACAGCTTTTGATAAATATTGCAATCAATAGTCGAATTATAGTAATCAGAAGTCATTTCTCTATTATAAAAATTCAAGTATAGTCAGTAAGATCATCATCTACAAGAGACGTCACAGAATGTAAGTACATTTTTACTCGAAAATACTCGAAATGGATATTAACAGAATTGTTATAAAATATACTTACCGCTGTTAGAATAATGAAAGTTTTCTAAAAATTTCATACACTCCTCTAATCCAGCAAATATAGTGAATTCACCTTGGAATGGATTTGTTCGAAAAAATAAATCAAATACAGCGACATCATTTACTTTTCCTGATTTCCAATATGCATACGCCATAGTTATTTGATAAAGGTCTGAGAAGAAATGTAAAAAAAATATTTTTTTTTTCTTTTAGTAAGAATAGGTTGAACTCTTTTATTTTGGACTAGCGACCCGCCCTCGCTTCGCTTCGGAAATAAATTTTATTTATTGACAGGCGAGTCCTGCCATGTTGCGCGCGGTACGTTACGACAATAACTGCGGGTGACGCTGCGGGGCGAAGCTAGTCTAAAAAATAGCCTAAGTTACTCCTTATATTATCAGCTACCTATTAGTGAAAGTCTTATCAAAATCGGTCCAGCCGTTCCAGAGATTAGCCGGAACAAACAGACAGACAAAAATTGTAAAAAAAATTATTTTGGTCTATGTACCGTATATATATTAATATGCATGTAGTAAATAGAGGCTATTTCAATATTACAAACAGACACTCCAATTTTATTTATATGTATAGATTCAATAGGAAACTGAACTGAAATTTCACCTGCTATTATTATGTAAAAATAGTTGTCTTAGACAAAATATTATGAATCTTCTTAAGCCCATCCTAAGTAGTGAGGTAGGTTGTACAGGAATAATGGCAGTCCTATCCTTCAAATTGTAAGCGATATATACTTCGCAACACAAAGAGACATGGCACTCAAGCCCTACTTATCAACGAGCAAGCAAATTCAAACTTTAGTTTGATTTAATTCACAGTGCAAATCATTTATGAGCATTTTTTGCATATTACTTTACATATTCAATATTTAAATAATACCTACAGCAGAAATATGACACTAAACTTGTTACCGGTTTTATTATTGACCTAGAATATAATTAAAGCAATTAGTAGCTGACCTACAATACATTCACATCTTTTAGCTACTTACTTTTATGTAAGTATAAGTATCAATAATTTATTATATAAATATTAATTAGCATACCACAAATTCAGGAATGCGAAGTCAAATGAATTAGCACAAATTTATTTAAGCTCCAGATTCGCGATTACGAAAAGGCGAACATTAATTGAAGGAATGAAATATATTTGCTGTTTAATATTATCAGACAATTCAGTATTATGTGCCGCTATCAACCTATTATCATTTTTCACTAAGTTTCATGTTGGACCACAGCAGAGCTCAGTAATCAGTCAAAAAGTCAAAAATCATCAAAATCAATTGGTAAGAAACCTTCTTCAAAAATATTGCCAACAATTACTAAAGTATTAAACGATACTTGAATAAACAATATGAATCATTTAGAATCTGAGTATAGCAGGTATTTCAGTTTTCTCTATATTTGTACCCTATGTAGGTTCTATGGACATGGATCTATTTTTGCAAGATACTATCTGATTCTGGAATTACCCCTAGTTTCCTGACAGCTGAGACATGTCCTTCTTTAAAAAAGGTTTGAGGAGAGTCCTCAGAAGTACGCAGCAGCTTGGCATTGCTAATTTCCATGAGCAACAGTGACTAGTTACCATCAGGTGGGTCAATTTGCATGTCTTCCTGTGAAAAAATGGTGGAAAAAATATTTTTTTTAAGCTTTTCACTCTAAATCACAGTGGAGACTGTCATTAGGCAAGCAGCTCTGATTGCCAAGCTTTTATGCTTAAAGTATGGGATAAAGTTTTTTTTTTTAAATGAATAAGGCTCATTTTTAATTAAGGCAGTTTAGTGTTGCTCTAAAGTATTGTTGGTTTATATTAAATAATCATTTAATACTTCACTATGAATTAAACCAGATCACATTGTACCAAACTATCTTTTAGATGATTGTTTTAAATACTTAAACTTTTTAGGAAATGCTTACAATTGTTAGCATTGCCTTGAGGTACTAAAATAATTTTCCGCGTTAATAAGAAAAGTTTTTAAAAACACCTACCTACCTTAGGCCTTAAAAATAATAAATAAGCATTTTTTTTTAAATTTCGCTCCATTCAATTTAACTCACCAGTTAAAAGTGGTTGCACAATACCGTTTTGTCGAGCCATCTGTTTATCTGCAATAGATATTTCACTCGACATTTTTTCTTATACAAAGTAATTTAGTTTAACACTAACAAGCACGTCAGAACTGTTTAGTATCTCTACAACAACTAAAACAAGTAATTTCATCGTGTGGCGTTGAACAGTACCTCGTTATCAGCGCGCGAAACTGAGTTTATAGGAACTTTACTAGAGGAACCTGAAATGTTACGCATGCGTATTTGAATTTCTATTGACCAAAGTTAGAGGTCGGACTTGAAGGTCATTTCAGTTGATGTACCTACATTATCAGCTATTAATTACTTATTTACTACTTGATTATTGATCAGTTAAGTGTATTACCTATCTATGTTATTTTGATGCTCATGACAAATTTAGCAGTGTGTACTGTGTAACTTATGATCGATCGACTCAAAAGTCAAAAAACGCATTTCCCTCCCAATTCTCGCAATTTGTGATAGTCTGTGCTCTCAAAACTACACAAACATTCTTGGACTTTTTGGCGGGAACGCGAGGAGTGAAGTTGTATGATTTGTTTTATTTTGTCTATTTAGTGTTTCTTCGGGTATAAATGTGTAATAATGGTGGTTTATTAACTGTTTAATATCTGTGAAAGTGCACAAATGTGGAAAAATTAAACAAAGCCGCTCATCATCATCACATCTTATCTCATTTCATTTTATGTCATGTTTCATATTAATTAACTTCATTTCTTTTTACTTCTTATCATTGTTCATATAAATATTAATATATAAAAGATTAGGTTGTTTGGTATGACACTTTTGCCTTTTCAGTTGGAAAATAAAACTACTACTTGGTGATGACTTTGGCATCTGTAATGATGTTCAGCATCTATGAAGGTGCACAAATGTGGGAAAATAAAACAAAGCCGTTGGACGTCTTCTCAGGATTTTCCAAAAATTCCACTAAAAGAGTCTCACTCAGTAAATGACCACCATTTCACTGAGATTATATTTCATCTCATATCATCTTATCTCATTTAATTTCACTTCATATTATCATTTTACATATTAAAAATATATATAAAAGATTAAGCTGTATGATATGCCACACACTTGCCTTTCCAATGGGGTTGGCAAGTGGCAACTGTCAAAGTGGCGCTGTTGTGCATTGTTCCCATAACATTCAATATTTGTATTGGAATTTTTGATTAAAAATTATTTTAAACACAATGACGCGTTGTTTTGTGCCAATATGCTCAGAAATTGGAGTACATCAATTCCGAAGGACAAGAAAATTGGAAGACTGTGGTTAAAGGCCATTTGACGCGAAAAAAGTACTCCCACAAAAAGTTCGAGGTTATGTCGTAAACACTTTGTGGAATCTGGCTATGAAAACATTAGTAAATACACAGGTATGCTTCTTTCTGTCAAATATTTATAATCATGACTAGGTGTAGCACACATCTTTGTTCTCTTATTAAAAAAATCCATAATTAGTTAGGCACACTATTAGTTGCTAACATATTTTGCAAGTAGATTTATGTTGTAAGGAACCCTTTAACAAACACAAAATCCGACTGGAGGAAACACATTCCTCATGAGCTGTTGTTCATTATCAGCTGTTACTATTGAAAGTTCTATCTAAATCGCTGCATCCATTGTAATAACAAATATTTTGAAACTATGGTCAGGTTTCCTTGTGATAGTATATTTAAATGTTTTTCTTTGTGTTGTAGGTGTCAAACATTAACATAAATATCTGAAGAAAGGTGCTGTACCATCTATATTTTCATGGAATATGAAACCAGTTTTTGAAGAGACAAAAAGTAGAGAACAAAGGTTACAAACTCGTAACCTTAAAAAACAGCTTTTTAGCCTGCCCAACACTTCCCAATATTATGAAGATATAGTACCCCTTGAAGAACACAGCAATGTGCATTTTGATTCAAATGTCTCTCAAGAAATTCTAATAGAAAATAATAACTCTAGTATAGATGAAACAATTACAAGGCATCATATTACTATTGGAACTCAAACATCCAATATATTAAGATTGTTCTCTACAGAGCTATTACTTGCAGACGATGAGACAGTGCAATACTACACCGGGTTGGAAACAGCATCTAAGTTTTCATTAGTTTTAATCACACTTTTGCCAATGTCAAATGATATAAGGTATCGCTGGAGTAGAGTGGTCGGCATATCAATAGAAGATCAATTTTTAATGTTACTAATTAAGCTTAGAAGAAACACAACAGATTTTGAATTAAGTAAAATTTTCGGTGTAAGTAAAACTGAAGTGTCTAATATTGTTGTAACATGAATCAATTTTGTCAGTGATATCTAGAGCCTAATTGACATTTGGCCTATCCGCAGCTTAGTAAATTATTATATGCCTAATTGTTTTAGAACACATTATCCCTCCACAAGGGTGATTATAGTCGGGACTAAAATAGGCATACAGAAGCCTAGTCAACCTGATGCTCAAAAAGCGTCATTTAGTTCTTATAAACATAAAAATACCTTGAAATTTTTGGTAGGAGCTTCACCAGGGGGTTTATTATCATATGTTTCAAACGGCTACGCTGGTTCTGCAAGTGATCGACAGGTAGTAGAACGAAGTAAGCTGCTGCAGATTTGTGATTCTGGAGATAGTATTATGGCAAACAGAGGTTTTAATATACAGGATCTGTTTGCCTCTAAAGGAATTAGTATAAATATCCCATCTTTTTTAAAAGGTAAGTCACAAATCCCAGGTGTTCAGTTAAAGATAGATCAAAAATTTGCTAGTCAGAGGGTTCACATAGAACGATTAATTTCATATGTGTAATGTTATATAATTTTAGAGAAGGAATTGTCAATAAAATAATTAAAAATATTCCTGATTTTTTATTTCGACAAGTGTGTATAGTTATAATACAGATATTTTTCATACAATGCTTCTTTGAAAATATTTTCACAAAAGATATCTAATTTATTTATCATATTGTTTATAAAACTATTGTCTTTTTCAACATAAATCACTTTGATGTCCTTGTAGGTGTAAATGACCAAGTTGCAGTATGTTTTGCCTGAGCAGTATAACTGCCCTTGGATTTGATAATAATATGGGCAGGTTTTTTTTAGAGACAATATCCCGTTACATTGTTCTAAGTAAGGCACCGTTGTTATATTTATTTCATGTTTTCTGCTAGCGTATGGATATTTCACTTCAATTATATTTTCTTCGCCCAACACACCATCTGGAGATGCTACAAGATATGGGCGCTCTTGGCTAATGACAATGCCACATGGCTCCACTAGCAAATCATATATATTAGCATATTTTGCTAGAGAATTTTTTTCATTTTGTTTCAAAATTAAAATTTTGGTCATATAGCTCTATCTGAAAAAAGTAAAATAATATGTTAGTTGGTAGGTAATGTGTGTAATATGAGCAATTCTTTTTGCACATGCTAAAAGGAATAAAGTTCCTAAGGTACACAATTTAATATTATTATTATAATAGCTACCGGAAACAGTTTGAGAGAAGTTTTCTAAGTTAAAATAAAACATCAACATTGTACCTTTCGACAAAATCCACTTTTTTTTCTCGTAAAGATGCACCACGTTTTCTCAACTCCTCCTTTAATTCTTTAACTATCCAGTAGGAATACATGTTGTAAAACTGTTTAGCACTACTTAGAAAGTAATAAGAACCGTATCAAAGTCACAAAATGCCGAAATATCACGAACGCAAAACACACAAAATGGCGCCTCTCTGTGACAAGGGAACAAGCTACGCTGGCGACATCTGAGAAAAGCTTTAACCGGCCAACCCCATTGGAAAAATAAAACTACTACTCCGACTCCGAACCACGAGTCACGAGAGGTGCCTGAAGTTAGCCCCTCAAAAAAAAATTTCTTTCCTGTTTTCTACTTATTTTCTATTAATTCGTTTGCTCATCATTTGTTCTTGATTGTTCACTGTTAATAATTGTTTGTTCTGCATTTATTTATTTTAAAAAAAAAATTAAAAATATATGTACAAGTTAGCCCCTCGATTGCAATTTTTAATATTTTTTCGTCATTAATGACTCGTAAATATTCATTTTCGATTGTTCTTATATAAAATACGTTTGTTCTCTTTCGAAATTACTCATTTTTTGTTTAATTAACTATTTGTATTAGTTGAATAAATGTATGCAAAATATGTGTACTGCGCATGCGTCAACTATAATGCCTCAACTTTCTACGCTGTTTTAATCGTGAAAAAAAAAAACAATTATAAATCCTGAAGGATCAATTGCTATTGGAAGCTGTGCAAACTAGAATAAATTCTAATAAAGAATAAGAATAAACTTTGAAGAGAAGAAGAAAAGAGCTTTCTTCGAAGGTCAATTCTACAAGGTATTCAATCAGACAACTATCTATCTCTGTATTTCCTGTATGAAATGTTGGTATGTCGAAATCTTGGATAAATCCAGCAAAGCTAAATAAAGTATTTACCTAAAAAATATGTTTATGCTTAAAGTCACGTGTTTGTTATTCGAAAATATTAACCAATTTTTCAATCGAAGATTAAAACAACATTAATACTGAGAATGAATATTTATTTATAAAATACACATATATGTTTTAACCACAAATTTTGCACGATAATTTAAATTAATATTCATTAATATTAATTTAAATAAATATTAATTAACTGTTGATCCTTCTGTTGCTGGTGCATTTGACTCATCACTGTCAAATTTGTCCTCAGGAACAACAGTTTTCTTTTTGCTGGTTCTGATTGTTTACTTGTACTTGCTTCAGATATATTAAGGGGTGATGTGGCAATACACACTTGCCTTGCCTTTGTGTTCCTGTGCTGGAGCTACTTGGATAGCTTTGTCATTACTACACCTACNATTAACTGTTGATCCTTCTGTTGCTGGTGCATTTGACTCATCACTGTCAAATTTGTCCTCAGGAACAACAGTTTTCTTTTTGCTGGTTCTGATTGTTTACTTGTACTTGCTTCAGATATATTAAGGGGTGATGTGGCAATACACACTTGCCTTGCCTTTGTGTTCCTGTGCTGGAGCTACTTGGATAGCTTTGTCATTACTACACCTACTTTCAAGTGGCTGGACATCTGGAAATATGAAATAATGTTAGCAATTTCTAGGTACCCAACAAACTTATAGTTTGTAAATATATAGGATTATATGTGTACTGTAGTAGTAGTAGTATGTAACTTCCTAGTTATCATCATCAGCCCATATAATATATTCCCTTGCTGGACACTGGCCTCCACTACCATTGAGAGGGTTTTTAGGCCTTAGTCCACCACGCTGGCCTAGTGCTGGTTGGTGGATTACACACCTAAGAAAATCCTAAGAACATTTAGGTGTGCAGGTTTCATCACAATGTCTTCCTTCACGGTTAAAGTAAGTTAGTGATATTACACTGTGATAAATTTTCATTATCACAAACTTCCTAGTACCTTATGTAATAGGAACTGAGGTCCACTTGCCCATTTTAGCTACTTCCACTAACTAACTAACTATTATCCTTTTTTCTGATATTGTTATTTGATTATGAGATCTGTGAGTGTTACTAAATATTGACAGTTACACCTACCTTGACTAAAAGATGGCAAATGTATAATAATATAACACATCTCATTTTTAGTCGTCTCCTCAATCTCCTTGACAATAGTGAGTCTTTGCCGTTTCACAAATGCAGGCCGAGGTTCACTTTGAGTGAATTTTCGTTTTCTATCTTCTCTACATTCGAATTTCAATGGTAAACAGTTTGGTTTCATTCAAATTCATTTGATGGAGCCCATTATCTTGTATTGCATATAATTCTCCATGTCGTTTTCCAGCTACAACATGAAATAATTTTCCAACACTTTCAATACATAACCTATAAAAAATAATTAAAATGTTATTTTACTAATGTTAGGAATATAATTTCGACTGTGTAAAGAAGTTATTATAATGTATACCTACATTATCTCTTGAAAGATAAATAATGAACATATTCTTTTTTATACCTTCATAACGATAAGTAGGAGGATGGAAAAAATGTATTTGGTCTAACTTTACGCCAATGCATATTATTTCAATTATTTATTTTTTAATTAAACTGTACACCAATTAATTGCTCCTTCATTATTATTTTTTTTAATTTTATGACCTGGTGACAGAGACCTTTAGGTCATATCTTATTTGGAAAATGTTCATTACTTTGGGGTCACTACACTTCACTAAATTTTGTCATTTAAATTGTTTGAATTGTATTTTTTATGTAATTATAAATTGGTTTATAAGATGTTGGATCTTTTAGTAAAAAGTTAAGTGGCGGCGGGCGGGAGGAAGAGACACACTTAAATGCATTGGTATCACTAAGTTCACTAGATTGCTCCTTCAGGATTTATATTTGTTTTTTTTTTTTCACGATTAAAACCGCGTAGAAAGTTTAGGCATTATAGTTGACGCATGCGCAGTACACATATTTTGCATACATTTATTCAACTAATAAAAATAGTAAATTAAACAAAAAACGACTAATTTCGAAAGAAAACAAACGTGTTTTATATAAGAACAATCGAAAATGAATATTTACGAGTCATTAAGGATGAAAAAATATAAAAAAATGCATTAGGGGGGCTAACTTGTAGGTATATTTTTAAATATTTTTTTTTAATAAATAAATGCAGAACAAACAATTATTAACAGTGAACAATCAAGAACAAATGATGAACAAACGAATTAATAGAAAATAAGTATAAAATAAGAAAAAAAAATTTTTTTTAGGGGCTAACTTCATTCACCTAGTCACGAGTCCTCTCCCGCGGCCAAAAATAGAACTCTAATAATTATTTTGATCAGCCATGTTGTTTGTTGTTGTTACTGTCAAATGCTGTTACAGTGTTCGATTGTCAAGATTTTTATTTATTTCCCTGATATGAAGTGTTCTATTTGTTTAGAAAACTCGGAAGAAAACTCGCGAGAAATGATACTGCAAGTAAGGGCGTTTTGTGAAGCAGAACAGCAAAATCAAGTACTTTTGATACCATTAGACAATGTACGCAAGAGAGTTGCTGCCATTACAGGTACATATTTAGTGTTGCTAGCTTTTTTTTTTTTTTGGTCAGGAGGAAATCGCCGGACTTCCGCCCTCCCCTGGGGATGAAGGGCGGGGCATGTCGGAGTCGAACTGACTAAAACCTCCTGTCGCTCAACAACCCGCGTCCGAACCTCGCATGGGACAGAACCCATGAAAAGGCAAAGGGGGGAAAGTGAAGCGTTTAGTGCGGAGCACATCTCTCCCATCACCCTCCCCCTCGGGACGCCGGACTGGCGCCACGACCACCAGCCCTCTCGGTCGGCAGGCTATCCGGAGCCCGCCTAGATGGCGCCGGTTAGAATGGGTTATCCTACGGAATACCCCGCTGGGTCAGAACCAGCGTGGGTCGAGGATAGCCAGCCTTCCATCACCCGGATGCTCTTGCGTAAAACGCGTGCAGAGCAGCTTGCACGTCGTCTTCTTAGGCCCCCTTCGCCGGTCCCCAGACCGACATGTGAAGGGGAACCGAAACCCTTAGAGGGCCAGGGCTTGGGCGAGATCCGCCTCCCTGGCCCCCGCCCGACGGCGGCGGGCTTGCGCGTCTCTCACACGCCCCGCCGCCTCCTTCTGCGAGATGGTCGCAGAAGTCGAGCATTGCCTTCCACGACTCGTCGTCGCCGAGCATCGATGCCACAACACTCGGCAACGACAAGTCGCTTCCTATTTTTGCGACGAGGACACGGCGCCACCCCTCCCATGCGGGGCAGGCGACGAGCGTATGCTCTGCCGTGTCCAAGTCGCAACCACAATGGTGGCACTCTGCCGTCGGCTCGGCTCCGATCCGGTGCAGGAACTCACCGAAACAACCATGCCCAGTGAGCACCTGCGTGAGCCGGAAAGTGAGGCGTCCTCTGTCACGATTCACCNGCGTATGCTCTGCCGTGTCCAAGTCGCAACCACAATGGTGGCACTCTGCCGTCGGCTCGGCTCCGATCCGGTGCAGGAACTCACCGAAACAACCATGCCCAGTGAGCACCTGCGTGAGCCGGAAAGTGAGGCGTCCTCTGTCACGATTCACCCAATCCACAAGGACCGGGCGAATCGCCTCGACGGTCCTACGACCAGCTGAAGGATCAGCCAGCCGTCTGGACCATGACTCCAGCAGTGTTGCTAGCTAATGTGTTTTGCCATTCGATTTTAGATTTTATTTTGTAAGAAAATTTAGAATTTTGATTTTTGAAATTTAGATATCTTGCTATTACAATCAGCACTTTGTATACTATTTTACTACACAAATGATGACATTAGGGTTTTATTTATTTAAAATTTATCATTTGTTTCTTAAGTTTTATCAATACTCTAGGACACTAGACTTTTTATTGAGCAAACGAACACAAACGAGCAGACGACATACACGACATACAAACTGCATATTCAGCTAACTACCACTGGTAAAAACTAAGTTAGTTTACTAAATAAAGACTAATATGGTTTAAAAAAAATTCCAGGTCTGTCTGAGAAAACCGTATCAACAATAATACAAGCAGGAAAGACTGCTGCAAGTACTTCAAAAAAGATTGTCACGCCAGGGAAGAGTCATCCACGTTCAAATAAGATAAAATAATTATAGATGATTTTGATATTTGTGCTATTCGCCATAAAATTCACCAATTTTATGCTGTAAAAAAGGAACTGCCGACATTAAACAAATTACTTGCAGTGTTGAAACAAGACATTCGAATCGAACCACTGAAAAAGGACCTGTCATATTCGTAAATGAGACTTATATCCACAGCACATACCATTCTAGAAGTTGTTGGCAAAGTGAGGAAGAGTCTGGACTTTTCACTTCAGATTCTGTTGGGAGTAGATGGATAATCGCACATGCTGGTATAGAAAATGGTTTTATTAGTAATGCTTTACTTATTTTTAAATCTCAAAGTCTTCTGATTACCATAATGACATGAATTCAACTAATTTCCTCAAGTGGATGAATGAAAAATTAATTCCAAATTTGCCAGCAAGGTCTCATGTGGTTATGGATAATGCTCCATACCACTGTACCCAAATAAATAAAGCTCCAACCATGTTGGGAGTAGATGGATAATCGCACATGCTGGTACAGAAAATGGTTTTATTAGTAATGCTTTACTTATTTTTAAATCTCAATCAAAGTCTTCTGATTACCATGATGACATGAATTCAACCAATTTCCTCAAGTGGATGAATGAAAAATTAATTCCAAATTTGCCAGCAAGGTTTCATGTGGTTTTGGATAAAGCTCCATACCACTGTACCCAAATAAATAAAACTCCAACCATTTCAATTTTAAAAGACGAAATGCGTAAGTGGTTGCGAGAAAGGGGTATTTATTTTGAAGAGAGCTGGACGAAACCCGTATTATATAAACATAAAACAAAATAAAGGACCACCGGCTACTTATACTGTAAATGAACTTTTAAAAAGTCACAATCACGAAGTTTTAAAACTTCCATCGTATCATTGCGATCTAAACCCAATTGAAAAGAAATGGAGCCTTGTTAAAAGACGTGTGGCAGAGAAAAATTTGGAACAAAACCCAAAAAACATTGTGAAAGATACAGAAGATGTGTTTGCAAGTGTAACACCAGATTGGGCTATTCAATATAAGCATGTGGAGCATCTAGAAGATGAATATTTCAAAAACGTGATAGATGAAGAAATGGACCGATTTATAATATTTGCAGCAAGTGATAGCGAAACAGAATCTGATAATGATAGTGATATGAATGTAGATGATCCGAATAGTCCTTGCAGTATGGAATAACTCCAATAGATGACTATAATTATACAATTAAAATTTAAAATGTTTTTTCTTTATTTAGTCATAGCGTTTGGAAATATAATATTAGTATAGATATAGATAGGTTAGGCTGATATCAAAAAAATATAATTTTTATTTTTATTCTATTTAAACTCTGTGTATGAGTATAATGTCAGATTTGTTGTTACATAAATTTTATTGTTAATACTTTTCTAATTTCAATTAAAAGCTTAACGGTAGTCGTGACTGGAAGACTCATCTTTCGATGTGGTTTTTAAAAACTTTTAAAAACTCGATCATGTTTTCAGAGATATTATATTGAATTCGTAGAAAAAATTGAAATTATTAATATTAAATATGCAATAACGGTGGTTTATTAACTGTTTAGAATCTGTGAAATTGCACAAATGCGAAATGAAGCCGCTGGACATAACTACTCAGTTTCTTCCAAAAAGCCCACTGAAAATGTTTCTTACTGAAACCACCATTTTACTAATATTTTGTTTCGCCATATCTCGCTTCATAAATTTCATCTCAATTGATTTATCTCTAATGAACTTCATCTCATTTCGCTTCACATCATTTTTCATATTTCATTTCATATAATAATTTAGATCTGAAGAAAATAAAAGACTTGGCTTAAAAGTCTTATCATTTCATAAAACATCACTGAAGTTTTTTTTTTTTCATTTGGCATCGCGTTGTTTGCGCATATGCCACTGACAAAAATCAAAAACAATAACAAAAAAAGAACGTATGACATTGATAGAACGATTATGTCAGAGGTTTAAGTTTTTTCAGGCAACGGCTCCACTTTTCTCAATGCCACTGAGTAAAATATTAAAAAAAAAACATAGCTATCGCAGATATTTAACAAATCTTAAAAATATGGAGGGTAGAGGTAAGGAGACCCATCTCTGTGTCTGAAAGTGTTCGTTAAAATCTGCTNATCGTGTATCGGCTGATATCGTTATATAGATTTCGATTCACGAATCGGTACGATATGCCGATGCGCATCACATCGAGCAATATCGTGTATCGGCTGATATCGATATATAGATTTCGTGCGGGGCGATATCGGATTCAACGATATTGCTGCGATATATAGATATTGAATCTATATACGATTTATATCACCCACTCCTAGTTTGGACTACGTAAACATGTGAGGTCTTGTTTATTACACTGTCACTATTTACTCTTAAATATAGGTATTAAATTTCCTAACTCAGCATACTTCAATCAGTTATCAACTGCTCAATTCATATCATACCTTGTGCCTATATATGCTAGTGCCATTCTGGAGGATTTTTTAACTGTTATTTAGTGATGAAAGTGAGACGTTTTTCAAGCTTCTCCCTTATGAGACGGTTTTCCTTACCTCTACCGACCATAATAGAGAGTTATATAATATGCAACGGATGTAGAGAGTCTACTTAAACATTTTATACCTACTTTAAATGTTGTTTGAGTTGCATTCTGCCATAATTCTGGTATAGTTGTCCAAAATCAATACCTACGTAAACAATTGCATACCTATCATTTAAGAAGATTTGAAATACATAATACTTCGTCGAATCATATATTTTTCTTTGACAGTTCGAGTAACAATCAACCTGTAGACTTCGTCTCACGAAAGAAGTCTCGCAGACGCGGCGCTGCAAGCATGCGATGAAATGTTACCAGCGTTTGCTATTGAATTCCGAAAAATCCCCTAGTTAGAGGATGGAGTGCTAGTGGCAGGTAGTAAATAAAATTGAACAATTCGCTATTTTATGTATACATAACAGAAAGAAAACACTGTAAATAAAATATAATTTTAATTATATTTAATTATATAATTTTAATTATATTTTAACAACATAATTATGGTCACCGATCGGGTTTATTCCAGACATACAACAGTCACTACCTGAATCATAGTCCATATTACTTTCGTCATCCGACTCTGTTTCACTATCACTTGCTGTTGATATGATAATCCGGTCCATTTCTTCATCCATCTGTCCATCATTCCTAAAATATTCATCCTCTAAATGCTCCACATGTTTGCACTGAACAAACCAATCTTCTGCAGTCACGCTAGTAGACGCTTCTTCCGTCAATTTTAAAAAAAATTTCGGATCCTGATCAACATTTTTCTCAGCCACGCGTCTTTTTACAAGACTCCATATTTTTTCAATTGGATTAAGATCGCAGTGATATGGTGGTAGTCTCAGAATTTCGTGGTTGTAGCTTTTTAAAAGTTCATCTACGGCATAAGTTGGTTGTCCTTTATTTTGTTTAATTAAATCAAACAATACGGCTTTCGTCCAGGTCAGTTCAAAATTAATATTTTTTTCACGCAACCACTGTTGCATTTCACTTATTAATTTTGCCACTGTTGGCGCTTTGTTTAGCTGTGTGCAGTGGTATGGTGCATTGTCCATAACCACAAGTGACTTTTCAGGCAAAATTGGGATTACCTTTTCAGTTATCCACTTTAGAAAATTACCGGAGTTCATATCGTCATGATAATCTGACGACTTTGACTGGGATTTAAAAATTAATAGAGCATTCTCAACAAAACCATTTTCAGATCCAGCATGAGCAATTATCCACCTACTCCCAACGGACTCGGTAGTGAATAGCCCTGGCACTTCTGCACTTTGCCAACAACTTTTGGCATGATATAGGTTTCATCCAAGAAAAAAAACACCACGGGTCTTTTCTCTACGGTTCGATTTTTTCTCATCTTTTCTATGTATCTAGCGCGCCAAGCAGTTATATCGTACCGTTATATTAATAACTTACTTTTTGACTGGCATCGTTTGTATTTAAAACCAATAATTTGCAGTATTCTATGTAGCGTGGCGCGGCTTCCTTCAAACCCAATGTCTTCTTTTAACACTGCGAGTAATTTATTTAAAGTAGGAAGTTCTTTTTTTACCGTATAAAACTGGTGAATTTTATGGCGAATAGAACATAGATCGAATCCATCCAAATCAATTTTTTTTGCACGTAGGCGACTCTTCCCTGGTGTGACAATCCTTTTCGAAGTACTAGCCGCTACTTTTCCTTCTTGTGTTATCCTCGAAACTGTTTTCTCAGACACACCTGGAATTTTTTTAATAGATATAAAACAAAATAGGCACTTCAGAATTTTCAATAGTGTTGATAAACTTTAATGAAATGTTTAAATCTTAAACAATAATAAAATACTTTAATCTAACAATAAGTACGAAACCATAAAAAAGTTCCAAATAAAATGGTAAAAATCACATAACTGGTATCCCCAACTAAGTACCTGTCATGACGGCTACTCTCTTACGAACATTGTTTATTGGTATCAAAACCCCCTGATTCTTCTGTTCTGCTTCACAAAACTCCTTCACCTTCAATATTATTTCTCGACCAGCACTTTTTACAACTTTAGGCATCGTAAATAATAGTTTAAATACGACAAATGAATAGAAACGCAATGGAAACGAACACAACAACAACACTTGACAGCACCTGATACCGACAAACATGGCCGACCTGTCATATTAGTTCCATTTATCGCCGTGAGACTTCTTTCGTGAGACGAAGTCTACTTCCTCCTGATAGCGTTTGGTTTTTACTGCGCGATACACACTTTAAATACGGGGTTTTTGTTGTTGTGATAATATGGTAAATAAGATTTGCGTAACACGTACGCGTAAATAAAAGCCATCATTTTTACTGGTAATGAGTAAACAGAGAGAATACATATGTTTAATGCATCAAGAGAGTATTGAATTTTTTCTAAATGATTAGAAACGTTTTATTTCTAGTATTCTTTCATAAGCAAACACAAATATGAATTAATGCCAATTCTAATGAAAAGTAGTGAAAAAATAAAAAATAAGCATTTGCAAATAAAATTATTTTAGAATGAAAATAATTATGTAGGTAGGTACTTAATTAAAATGAACATTAAAAAAGAACAAAAATGTGTGTAAGTGGCGGTACCAATTCACAGATGGAGACACTATCTCTCGTTAATGGCGCACAGTAGGTAGGTACATGGCTGATGTCAAGACTAACATGGGAATATCGTTTTCCCCGTAGGTACAATTCGCACGTACGTAAACTATCTAAATACAGAAAGTCCAGTTATGACAAGATTTATTTGAGTGTTTACATTGAAGAAATGAACTTTTTCAGTTGTTTAAAAGTATGACTAATCAATACCATAAACGTTGCCTTGTAACTTCCTTGAATCTACTCAACCAAAGTCAAGGAAATTAATTATTTTAGTTGAAAAATGCTCCACAAATCTTATTCTTAGGTCACCATCAAATTCAAGTCAATCCAAGTCAATATAGTTATTAAAAAATTAGGTATGTAAGAATACTGATTTCGAGTATTCTTACTTTTCTTCTTGGAATAAAAAATTACCAAGGCATCTAGGTAAAATAAATAAATAAACGATTTTAGATTTAGGCCTAATTACCTACCGTGTATACTTTGATTGTATACACGTCCGTGTATATTATGTTGGTATTAAGCAGTAAACGATACTAGCTTTATGGTGTTGCATTTTCTGTATCAAATAGGTACCTATTATTGCTCACAAAAAAATTCTTTTGTGAATGCAATACAGGTGTTTATAAATATATGTAGATAGGTTATTTTAAATTTATAACAAAATTTGAAATTGAAATGAAAGTAAAAAAAAAACAAATTAAATTGTTTAATTTACAGGTTTACACGTTTCAGATATACCTAATTAAGTAATTATTATTTAAGTAGCAGTATTTCACAAAATGCATCAATTTTTAAAGTTTTCATATAAAAAATTTGGAGTTGGACTTAATGTATAGGTACAGTAAGTTTGTATATGCATAAAAAACGATAAACTATTTACTAAATAATTTCCAAATACCTATACAAACAATAGCAGTGTGTCTAGTCATAAACCAATCATTGGGAGCCAATACCTGACGAAAAGCTTCATCAGAAGATTTTTTTTTTATAAATTTAAGGAATAGATAAGGTTATGAGGAAGGTACTTACTTATAATAAATAGGTACATAAAATTTATGAATAAAGCGCGTTGTATTCAAATTTTAAACCCGAGCGCAGGTAAAGAGATAGTAAGTAGGTAACGGAGTGGAGGGGCGTAGTCCGCGTAGTTCTCGAAGACCGGTCCATGCCCGATGCTTCAAACGCTGTGCTGTTTGTGCGGATGGTGTGGCGGGTGCGCGTGGGCAGGGAGATTCCGCGGTGCGGGCGGGGCGAGAATCAGTTGCGCGGCGAGCGCTATATTGTAAGAACGTTAGGTGGTACCGCGCCAGCTCGTCGCGTGCTAGTGTTGTGTCACAGCGGTGGGCCAGGTCGGTTTCGAGATTTCTTCGTTCCGACGTAAATAATGGCTCTCAACTCGGACGGTGAACAGANGGTGTGGCGGGTGCGCGTGGGCAGGGAGATTCCGCGGTGCGGGCGGGGCGAGAATCAGTTGCGCGGCGAGCGCTATATTGTAAGAACGTTAGGTGGTACCGCGCCAGCTCGTCGCGTGCTAGTGTTGTGTCACAGCGGTGGGCCAGGTCGGTTTCGAGATTTCTTCGTTCCGACGTAAATAATGGCTCTCAACTCGGACGGTGAACAGAAATCGAACCTGGTCCTCCGCGTGGACCAGGATTCAGACTCTGTATTACAATCGTTGTTCGACACAGTGCTCAAGCCGGACTCAAAGCGACCGCTACAGGTGCCTCTTCGTATGCGACAGCTTCCCAAGTCATTCTTTAACCCGCCGTCGACCGGTTCCAAGTCGCCATCAGTGTCTCACTCGCGAGAAAACTCGGCTGATTCGGCATTCGGATCATCGTCTGCAACTGGCACCTCTACAGTTTCCCATTCACGGGCACATTCGTCACCAGCAAGCTTGCAACAAACTTACACCGCAGGCCAACAGAGTCAACAACCACCGTTGCATCATCAACACACGAAACAAAGATCTTATGATGTTGGTACACATATTCCAGACGATCTTGGACCCTTACCAGCAGGCTGGGAGCAAGCTCGTACTCCAGAAGGACAAATATATTATTTGAAGTAAGTACTGCATGAAATCGTAATAACCAATGTAATAAAATCTATTCATCGAAATATGCGGATTCCTAATTATGGTAAATTGTTAAATTAATGTTACATTAATTATTATGAATGTGATTTTTTTAGCCACCGACAAGTTTCCTGTAAGTGGTAAAATATAATAATAGTTTGTACGGTGTACGAATATTTTGATAATATTAAATGTCTTATAAATTTTATAAGAATACGGGGAATTTAAGATTTATGTATATAGGTATGTACCTCGCTATGATCCCAACATATTTTCCGCCAGCTTTCCCACTCCAAAAGTGAGTATAAAATTACAATATATAATAAGATTTGTAATTAAGTTACTTGGTACTTATTTATGTAGAACAAGTGAGATAGATTTTAACCTATACTTCTACTAGTCTTTGAAAATAAATTTTAAGTTAAAATTTAAAATAATTTAATAACTTTTTAAAAGTAACATTTTACATAACTTAAATACTAATATGTAAAGTAAAGTTTAAACTTATAAATAAGACATAATGGATGATTTAAAAAGATTCATGTGTAGATCTAAACATTGTCGTCATTCATTATCTTATCAGGATAAATGTACCTGCCGTCAGTTGGTACAGATAAGAATTATTGTGATAAGGTGAAAATGGTTCAAAAGAACAAGTGATCGTGCTTTGTACATGAGTGCGTTTATTATGATGTTCATACAATTATGAATCAATTTATTAGTGTACAGAAATAATACAGTAAAAAACAGAGTATAATAATGAGGACATCGAATATACTTTGGTCATAATACATGCCTGGATACAACATTTACATAAAAATACCAATACATATAGAAAAACAATATTTCCACTTGAATTGGGAACATTTGGTCTAGTTTTATGTTGAAAATTACTTAAGGGTATTGTTATAGTCTCATTTTAGCGTCAACAATAAAATTTAGTGTAATGATAACGAGAACTGTTATTGTGACAGCACTATACAAAGTAGGTTTGGAACTAAACGCATTTTTATCCTGTCCACTTGGTTGGTATTGATCGAATTTTCGTGTACTATCGATAGCCCGAATGGTAGGTACAATGAAGCGTCCTTTGTGATAGTAAAAGTCTAATCTTTCATGTAGTCTTCGTGACTATTCGTTATCTGTATTAGAGAATCTGAAGAACTTCTATCCTGTGAATATAGCATTTAGAATCAGGTTTAGCTACATTATTAACAGGAAATGACGAAAAATAAAAAAATGCAATTATTATCTATTTTTATATTCGGCAAATTTTTAACAAGCAGAATGACCGAGCTTGTATGGTGTAAGATCTCCGATCCAATAAATTATTACATACCTTTAGTGAATTTGACAGGGAGTTAGCTTAATAGCCAATAGGACAACTATTTAAAATTTCGATTCATATGAAGAGAAAGTCGGTTCTATCTCTAAATATTAGCTAGCTCATGAAACTGACTAGCGTGGCTAAAGTCCTAACTTCTTGTTAGAGCAATAAACTGGCCAGCATCTGATTTATATCATAATTCGTTCGGTTACAATCACTTTTAGAAGATCTCCCTCAATCATAAAAAAGAAGATATAATATACTCCAAATGCTGCTTCAGTCTAAATATTATTAAACCTCTGAAATTCCACAAAGGGTAATGACGCATTTCTGATGGAAAAAGTGCGTGTTTGAATCGATAACTGGTTTTAAATATTAAACTAGTGTCTTAAAGCTAACATGGAATACAAGAAATACCTACTATTAAATTAATTTTTAAAGTCAACAGACTTTATCCTATTAACAAATGTTTTATGTAAAAAACAAAACAATTGCCAAAAATGCGTTAATTCTAATCAAAATAAAGAGTTAAAACGTCAAGTATCCACGTCTTGTACCTAAAAGAATAGTGAAATACATTATACTATTTTTGACGCGAATGGTGAATGAAGTATATAGTTGAAATTGCTTCATTGAACAGACGTCGGTGTTAATGCACAAAGCCAGACAAGTGAATTTGAAATAATTGTTATCGATAATCGGTAATGGCTGAGCTGTAGTCTGGCGCCTTAGCCATTATATTCTTGTAATGTTTTTGCTGGTCTTGATGAATACCCAAATCGACGTCTTGGTAATTTAATTTTATCAGGGAGAAAATTGTCGTGCACAATCAAATAATTATCAAAAATATATTTTTTCCCTACCAAACTACTGGTAGCCCAATAGGCTATTTCAGCTATTCACGGCCTGGTAGGTGAGCTAGCAAAAGCAGCTCTTCGCCAAATCTACCATTGGATCAGAATCGCAACCGACTGAAAAGATTTTGCGAGAAAGTCAGTGGTTTCTTTCCATGGGTTAGTTCAAACTCTTCGTTGTAATCGACAATTTTGACGAGGACGGTGACCGATGCTTGAAGAGCCTAAAATAACGGAGAGCAGGGTGATCCAATTTAGACTACAATAGCTAAGCGAAATATTAAAAAAATAGGAATTTGTTCTGCCGACCACACCTAATAGAATAAAGGTATGAAGAAATTTAATTAACACATCATCATGAGTAGTGTATTGCGGTATCTTATCATGATTACTATAATTCAGTCTCATTTTCATCAAACTTATTCTTACGTGTACAGGTTTTCCTGTAAAATTTAAATTATGACTGAATGTAAAAACCTGAATCTTGGATGAGTAATCTCATCTCGTTTTTGAGGCGCGAGAGGTAAAGAGTAATAGTCCCTAACATGCCTAAACATATTGCCACACTGCCATGCTTTACTGCCAAAATGACAGAAAATTTAACAAGTGAGTTTTGAAGTAAATTACATGGAGCGTGCGTTAGAGCTTTCAAAATCTTGATTCAGCTGAATACGATCTAATAAAAACAAATCACCCGTGAAATATTCAATAATAGTTCATAGGATTTCTCTCGTGTAATGTTAACTGATAAGCAGTGAAACGTCAAATTGTAAATCATCATAAAATCCAAGAGTGTATCTAATATATTAAATTTTAGCACCAGATCTAACTTTCGTTGATCAAATTCCTAACGATTATTTGTCTAGACTGCCAACGCGGAAGGCAATAGGCATGTCTGTTCATCTGCAAAAGATGCTCATCGTTCGCGTAAGCTCGTTTAAAATATTGGTATTTCGAATATCAAAGCTATTAATTTAGACGTGCGGTGAGTTAGTTGGCTTCATTCGGCACCGGCGACCAGTTCCAGCAGCATGCCGCGATGGACCATTGCGAGCAGAGCGTTTCTTCCGTGTCGGTAAATAGACTTGCACGTTGTTTCTTAATTGCGGTTTGGGACTGATGCTTTACAAGCTCCATAACGTCAGTCGGCGATCGTCTCGACTGTTTTGCTTTAATTATTATTGGAATGGTGGGTTATTCTCTGTGGTTTTGTTCGCCTAGACTTGGCGATGTTCCGAAATGGGTAGCGATGCAAATTGCCTTGGCGGGCGCCCAATGTGGCGCTATCAGCCCCATACGAATTGGTTAACATCGCATTAAGCGTTCAATTTTTCCTTACCAGGTAAACAGAAATTAGTGCAATCTAATTATTTACTTATATATTAATGCAAATGAAAATATTTTGCAAAAACCACATCGCGATAAGTAAAATTAAACATGTTTTGAAATATTTTCATTCTATTTTATTGAAAGTATCGACGAGAGAGCAGAAACGTAGGTACTTTTACCGAAAATAATTTCTAGGTTTCCTGAAAACCAAAAACTGTAGGTGATTATGTCCAATAAGTTTTATTCAAAAGAAATACTTAGGTAGTAAAATAATGAGTTAACGCTATGACGAACGTAATGGGACGGTTTTTAATTCCTTTTAACGATCCTCCTTTGCATTTAAAATATTCAAAACATATAACTTGAATACAAAACAGCCTCGTACGAAAAAGTCATATTTTAAGTTCGTTCACCGTTTGTTGCGTGTATCTAAGCCCTTCCCAGTACAGCACAGTAAATTAAAGAGTCTATAACACAATGTTTCTATTTAATGAATGATGATTAAATACCACATTACATAAAATGACATTACTCGACCCTCAACTAGATTTTAAATGAAATATATTTTTCAAAGCAAGTGTTGTGTAATAGCGGTTAAATATTTTTAAGTTTAAACTAAACAAGGGAACGGCTAACATTAAAATTTCAATTAAAGTAGTTTATTACTTTTAATTTAAAAAAAATTAGCGTCTGTTAATAAAAGTCAATTGTTACCGTTTAAGCGATAATTGAATAATTTAATTAAGAGCGTGTTCATGTTATATGCGTATGGAGAAAGGAGCTGAGCAACCTCTCAGACGACTTTGGCAAGGCCGTTGTCGATGTCGGTGTAACGTAATCACCAACCGACTGTGTCGCGATCACTGCCCGAGAACGATGACTTTATAACTTTAGAAACATAATTATTATAATACGGATTTTCAATCGATTTAATTGTGGAAAAAAATATCCAATTATCGGACAAACTTTTCCAAGTTTTCTATGAGTACCTGAACACCTTTGTGCGGACTAAAATGGTATTAAAAAAAAAAGTTAAATCTGCAGTCCCATAAACTTATATATTAACCAACAAAATATGTACTTATTTAAACGTATACGTTTTAAGTAATTATTTTCAAATTGAAGCAAAATAACAATTTCGACTACAAACATTAAATAAAAATATAAATAGACATTACTCAACGCACCAAGTTAAGGTTATTGCCTCAAGACAGGTAATTAGTTAAAGTCGCACAATCGTTTCTAAGAAGGACATGGTGGAGTAGTCACATGCACAACAAGTGGACTTATCAGAGTAGTGTATTGAATGCGATAACATTAAAACACAGCTCACTATCGCCTTCCGAGAACTCGTTCGTTGTTCGTCGCAGCCAACGCGACAGGTAGCTGAGACGTAACGGAACTCTCAGAATACATTTTACATTTAAAACGATAATATTCCGTTAATACTTTCTCCTTTTGCTATTGTGATATATTTTTT